ATTAAGTCATAGATATTAGAATTTTATTAAAGCAATAAATTTTGTAATTAAATAACAGTCGCAATTCTTAAGGAAAAATTTAAAATTCTAATGATAAAAATTACAATTCTTATGAGAGAAGTCAGTATTATTATTATTTTTATTTTAAATAAGGATATTAATGTTTGTCATTTACTTAATAAACTACGGAATATGTTTTGAATGATCTAATGCCATTTTTACTCTTACTACTTTTCCTTTTACTGCCCACGTGGTAGTCGTGTGATAAGTTTAAGCCCTAAAGTTAGAAATTTAGACATTCTGAACTATTTTTTCTTGGATTTTTCTACTCCTACACTTTCTGCAAAGATTGTGTTCCAAAAAGGAATGAAAAAGAGACATTACCTATATTCTGACTACCAATGAAGACGAATGGATAGTGGAAACTTCGAGAATATTTCTGTTCGAAATATTCCGGTCAGAGCTTTTTTTAGCTCCTAAAAAAGATCACATTTGCTTTGATGGAGCAGTTTACCTGCCAAGTATTCGATGGAATTCGAATACGACGGAGCTGAAAATCGTCATGAAAATAGATCGCCAGTAAAATTTTAGAATATCACATTTAAAGTTACAAATTTATTCCAATTGTAAATATATTTTAGGAGTAGTGAGTCGTGTTTTATCGACTTTTGGAATGTGTTTAACGCCATCAAATTTAACTATCATAAAACTAGATATATTATAGTATTTTCAACATTCGTATATTATTACGACTTTATTTTCTCTAGAGAGTGTTTAACGCCATCAAATTTAACTATCATAAAACTAGACATATTATAGTATTTTCAGCATTCGTGCATTATTATGTTTTTATTTTATTAGAGAAGCCAGTCCTGAGAGTTAGTCCCGGCTTTTTTCAGATTTCAAAGTCAACCTATCTTTCCCAACTAAACCAATTTCGCTCATGTTATTCAATGAAAATGGGTGTTCCTGGTTAATTTTTGGGCAATTTTACCCAGAGACTCAGTGCTTGGTGGGTTAAACTATTATAAACTATTGAATCAATAAATTATTTTAAAAGTACAAACTATTCCAAGCACCAGGAGTTCCTGCCCTACATATATAACCCTGGCTGCTTCCTAAATACACAGAGGGCTTCAATATAACGTGCAAAATCAAAATTTAAAAGCAGGCATACAATAATAAGTACATATCAGAACATAAAAAGTATCTGCATTAACTTTATTAGGTTTAGAATTATACGTAATATGAAAGGAAAATAAAGAAAATGTAGTTCCACAACATTTTATTCTGAATATATTTTCATACATGCATTTAAGATGTTCGGAGACATGCTGCATCTAAATTTAAGCCTGCATCTTCAAGCAGTTGGTAAACATTTTAAGCCTTTCCTGTTGTAAAATTGGTGGTAAAATGCAATTAACAAATTTTGAAAGCTTTAAATTAGTAAGATCTACAGACATAGCCAGTATGTCTGTAATACTCATTACTCTGCACTGTAAAAATAGGAATCGCGATCAGTTCATTAAAAAGGATAACAACTACTTTATAAAAACCAAGGGTAATTCTTGATGCAATCAAATACCAAAGACAATTCCTTGTGTAGTCAAACACCAGAATACTTCTTTGAAGGTCATTTAGTTGCTCCTTTTTTCAAGTAGTTTTAGTTTCTCAAGTGTTTTTGAAATAAATTAGCTTTATACAGTTGCAGAATATAATAAATTTGCTTTAGGCTTAATACAGCGGAAACTGATATGATTTTAATATAAGGAGATTATTTAATATAATTGACAGATGTATGTGAATTATCTAATAAGAACATAATTATCTTCATGAAACAACTGAAAACGAACACGCCTTTTATAACAGTAGTCAAACCTTTTGTAGTAGTTAAGTATGAAAGGGGACGAAAAATTACCCCTTACTGAAACTTGCTCCACAGAAAACAATCTGCTGATTTGATCTAATAATTTTTCAATGTCCTAAGAAAATTCCTTTCTTCGAAATAAAAATGATTCAGAAGTAGTTTGTGTATGCCTCTGATCTTGGTGTAAGCTTGTTATGTTACTAGTGGTGTGATAGGTTTGGTAATATAGCATTTAGAATTATTAAAACAATAGTGTTAAAATATAGTATAAATCTTTGTATTGAGCTAAATAAGGATATATTTAATAGTAGAAACTTTATGGGACACACTTTTAAAAAAATGGGAGAAAAAAATCTGTTTAAAAGAAATTACTTTTCATCAGTTCATATTTCGGTTCGGTTATTTACAATCCCCTGTCCTACAACTACTCGCTCTCTTTTTTTTGGAGATTTTCCACTCGGTTGTAGTTGGCTGCAATAATAGCACAAGCTTCTATTTCGTTTAAAATTTGTTATCCGAACTAATGAAGTATGGAATCAATTTTTTATTTTATTTAAGAAAATGCCAAACATGAGAAAGCGGATCGTTAAACCCCACTGAATTGGAAAATCTCTTGCAGTTCTTACTAGGTTCCGGTGGAATAATTTAATCATACTTATTGTACCCCCGAACTATAAAATTTGCAAGAGTTATGAAGATATTGAACACATATTTACTGTCTACCCAGTTTATGATGATTTCTCGAAACAATTCAACTTTGATATTATTGAAACTGGAACTAAGAGAAAGTAAACAAAGGCATAGAGGAGATTTTTAAAAGAGCATTCAATATTTGGTATGTTAACAGTTCAGTAAAGGATTTTTATTGATGCAACAATTCCAGATTCTACACACACTGGCAAATGAGTTAGAAAATTTTCACATGCCATGTTCGCACTATTAGAAAGTCTGGTAGGAGTTACATAATGTGAGACAAGTTGCTAATATCAAAGTGCTGCTTTTCAAGGGTAAATAAACCAACCATACGAAACCAATCGAAAATCAAGTTCACCCTGCTATGCTACATTTTTATTCGAAAGCTGATAAAACATGCGATAATTCAACAATGCATCGTGCCAGAAGCGTAGAAAAAAATGTATTCCATGAGCTTCAATATGACCTTCAAAACCTCCCTTTTACAACATTTTGGGAAGTCATATTCGTCAGCAATCCTCAATTTGGGTTTAATTAAGATTATTATGAACTCTCTGTAACCAACGTAGACAATGTACGGTATTATTTAGACGTAAATACATTCCTATAGATTTAATGTCCTCATGAATACGGGCTATTATTCGTGCAAAAAGAGAACTAAAAATGTTTATCTTTCTAATTCATTGAACAAGGTATGTAACTCTTCAATGACCTTCTTTCATGTATTCTGTTCAATCATAGTTTCTGCGCGATTTAAATTTTTACAGTTTCATTCACTTATTAAAGAATTTAGTTATTCAGAATTTTACTTATTAAAAAGTAAAGTTATTTGCTACATTGGATATTTTGTGATAATTTTAGTAAGTTGGCTGTACTAACACTGTAACAAATTAAGGATCAAATTGTGGGTGCATAATCCAAAAAAAACTATTTTACAGTTAAATCCATTTTTACAGCAAAATATTATATCGACGGTAATATTTCACTGTAAAAATGGATATATATATATATATATATATGTAAAGTAATATAATTTAATTAGGATGATTCAGTAATTTTAGTGTCATTATTACGGTACATCCGCTTTTTGTTCTGTAACATTTTCTGGTAAAATGGCATTTTGCAGTAAAATGTGCCGGTACCTTGAGTACCTGCTCTTTTTTAATTAACCTGATCAGATTTTTTTACAATTTGTTAGATTTGGCACATGGTGGCTTTCCATACTGATATTTGATTAATTTTCAAGACAAATGTTATTTAAAGATTATTCTATTCAGTTAAATATTTCATAATTGAATCAAATAATGTAAAAGTTTAGGTGAACAACATAAGCAAGTGCACACAGAAATATTGCTTATTCTAATTCCCATTTAGGTTTTGTTTCTTAGTGTTAAAACACAAACAGAGTTCAACAATCTCTCTTACCTTACAATTAGGAGGTGAATAATAAATTCGAAAATAAACTTAAATATTCATTTAAGAGCAAAAATAAAATTAATTCAGTTCTAAGCCATAAAATTGTCTAGTTCAAGAACACTAAAACCTTTTAGTGAGAATTATAATAATTTTGGACACTATTTATTCGTTAATTGTAAGTTTATGCACTAAAATAAAAATAACACGTTTGGAAACACATATTTCATGGTTAAAAATTAGATAATCTCGTATTAAGGAATATATTATTCATTAATCATTTTATGTTTGCTAGTTTCTCGTTCTAAACATTCTAAACAATCCCTTAAAAGTAAAACTATTTTGGATAACTGTTAGAATAAGCAAGCTATTTAATAAATAGTAATAATTTTAGGTTTTTTTTCCTAAATGATTAACTTTTATGACTTGTTTAAAAATAATTATGAAAACCTGTTAAAAAAGACTTTAAAAATAATGAACTAGAAGGTGTTATTTAAGAAAATTAATGAAATTTAAATACGAATTAACTATAAAATGTAGCGTAATTTGTTCAATGTAAAATCGAACTTTTTTATTTGATAAGTTCTATGTATTATTTAATATTTATCTTCACTACACTCAATCAATGAAGAAAATATAAAGTGTCTCATGTCAATTTTCTTTCACTGATTGTCCTTAAAATCGATAACTTCTTATTTAAGTAATGTCGTTGATGCAAATAATTCATTATTGTAAGTGTAATTCAATATTGTATAATCTTTTTCCCAGTACATAAAAATATAATAGAAAATTATTTTAGAAATATTATTATTTTTGTTGATTAATTTGTTAATTAACCCTTAAGAAAATCACTTTCAAGAGGATTATAGCTCAGAAACGGAAGGAAAATAAAATCATGTAAACAAAAATACAACCTGAATGAATTGTTACAAAATCTAATGAAACCTTTTACAAATTTAAAGTGTTTTAAACACAGCATATTTTGGAAGTTCATCTTTCAACAAGCATCGACTGCATTATAAAACGTATAGCAAACTACGCATTATTTATTTCTTTTTAAATAAATTTTAAAAATTGTTTTGTCCACTTGAATATTTACTATACATAATTTATTCTAGGATATGAACATCAAATCTTTTACCTGCATTGCACATACATCTCCTCGCCATGGCAAAGTCTTTCAAACCTTTAATGTTACTGTATTATGTAAGTAGCATATTAGTGGCATTTTATTTATTATGTATTCTGATTATATGATTGTGTTTGATGAGAATATTATAGTAATTATAACGAAAAAATTACTTATGTAAATCAGCGTTGAAAATATGGGTAAAATTGAATAGAAATATTTCTGTTACACACTACTTACCCATTGAATAACGTATGGAAAACAGTTTCTTCCTCGGAAAAAAGGCCTATAACTTCAGAAATTTCCGTGACCAAAAGGGTTATTAAAGAACGAGTTACATTATCTTTCTTCAAGAATATTTTTGGTAGATATTTGATAAACTGATGATACAAAACTCTTACATTTTCATTAGTAACGAAATTGTATCATAATAAGGGTTCTGACCATAATATTACTGTTGTTGGCTTTCAATTTTCGTTATATCTATGTACTTTTTAAGCATGTGGGGCAAACTTAAGGGCCGCCAACGGCCGCAAAGCAATTATATATTTAAAATGGCTGTCATAATTTGATTGAACAATTGATTGCCAGAAAAAATTCGATAACACATCGGCACTTTTTTTCGTAGAAAATGCATCCCGTGAGCAATTTATTACTATTTTCATTATCATTATTAATGTAACTATTACTATTTAATAAATATGGAATTAATAACCCAAATTTTTGACTCATGCATTTGCTGAGGAAGAAATATAACTACAGTGTTTGCGTTTTTATTTCAAATACAACATTGAACAACTGATTCATACATTGGATACGTGATTCAGTTTCAAACACATAATTTCCTTTCAATCGTTATTCAGATAATCAAATCATTCAAAAAATAGGATAAGTTAGCGAATCAAGTGTCTGACTAATTTCACTCTTACTCATATTTACGTCGCATGAAATGTAAACTATGTTATCTTCAGCATTGGACACTAACCCATGATCCGCATGCTATTATAGAAATTTTACAAAAAACTGTGGAATCACTTGTGTCCTCAGTGATTGTTATTAATTTTGCCACTATGAAGTGATTTTGGCATATTCAAGAGTTTGCCGTTCAAACATTATACTTGCTTCATATCAAAAAATCAAGATAAATCCAATTAATCAATCCCAACATTCAACAAATATGTTTATTTAACTAACATTTTAATGATATCTAAATTTAATCACTTCAATTATATTATTTTGTCTATTTTCTCTTCATGAGACAACAACAATGTTTAAGTTTAAGCTACTTTACTAAGCATTATATTATATTTTATAAAGGAAAAGTTCAGTTTGCTACATTCATTTAAATAAAATGAAAAAAGTTGAAAAGTGTTGTTAAACATTGATACAATTTCAACATCTAATCTAATGGTTAATTCCACAAAAAATTCCCCCGCAATTTTTGTAAATGGCAGTTGAATAAGAAGTAGAGTACTCGGAACAGGAAATCACGCAATCACAACTTGGTTTATTGCCGACAAAAGCAGAAAAGAAAATGTTGGCCGGAAATTGGGCAGTCGTCCGAAAGTAAGAAGGCTGTATGACTAAATCCACTTTATTCTGGTGAAAATAGTACTGAAGTTTACGATATATTTTTTTTTCTCGGGTCATTTTTGGGATTTATTTCAGTCCATTCTCACCCTCAATAAGGCCAAAAGATTTTCGGTTTGCATCTTCCAATCATCCTTAACGCGAGAAGAATTAGCGAAGCAATTGAGCTTCATGTCTTTCCTTATTACATTACATTTCAAGAAAACATAACTTTCAAAGTTTTATTCTGAACGTGAAGAAGAAAAAGCCATTACAGTTAAGATTATTTCATTTTCAAACTTTTACGGAATCGCTTATGCTTGATCATTTTATGACCTATAAAAAATTCTCTCTCACTATATATATATATAT